TCAAAACCCTTCTCTAACTCCCCTTATAAAGATATTTTGATAAATAATGTACAATTTACTATCTATTTTTTCCTAGACATTTCATTTGCCAACACCCTAAAATAAGATTTCTACCACTTGAGAAGTTGGACTTGAGGTGCACACTGTAGTCCTAGCTACTTGGAGGCCAAAGCAGGAGGATCACTTGAGCCAGGAGTTTGAGACAAGCTTAGGCCATATAACAAGACCCTATGTCAAAAATTCTACCACTCATTAAAATCATTTTTGTTAGAATACATTTATAGTAAAAGGGGACTCATTGTGATAACTGCCATGGATGTGTGCAAGTGTAGAATTTCATGTGGCCAAAGCCTGTGGATGCTTTTGACATGGGCTTTAGGAGGCCTGACTCCTTGGGTCCAAGTGTGCTCTACTAGTCACTACTTGTATGACCTTAGACCAATTTGTAACACAGTATTTCTTCAGTGTTAGTTGAAAAATAATAGTAGCAATAATAACCAACAGCCATGAACAATGATATTAAAGACTATCATGATAAGTCAATGAATTAGTAACATGTCAATAATTTAAAATAATGCTCTGAATGGAGTAAATATCCAAATCAATTGTTAATTATCATGATTTTTATTATCTTCTGTGATATCTATACATTTAAAAGTATTAAACACTATTGTGTTTTTGGAAGTCTTTCTTTTCCATGTTATGCAAATATTACTTTTCTGGTATTCCTCATACTCATCTTGCTTTCATTTATCTTATTGACTGCTTTTGTTTTATTCAGTCTTTGTATGTTATATTTACCAGACTCCATCTCAACCCTCTGTTTTGTTCAATCTATATGCCACTGATGAGTATACATTCATATTGACAGTTTCTATTTTTGATTCTTTGTAGCAATTTCCAATCCCCAAACTTCTCTTCTCTCAAAATATATTAGCTAATTATAGACCATCAGTTCAACTTACTAAAATGGCTGTCCTCTGTGGATGATCTTCAACCCTCCCACTGAATAAGTCAGTCCAAGATTAAACTCAAGACACCATCATCTAACATCTCCAAACAGATGTCAGGGAATCTGGTCTTAGACTTCATTTTCCCAGAACTTAGTATAATGCCTACTGTGTATAGTAGATTGTAAATAAAATGATGACTGTCTGACTAGATAATAGATGGTTGGTAGGTTATATAGAGGGTTAGATGAATTCTTGAGTGAGTATGTATCCTTAAATTATTTAGTTAACTAAATTATCTGATAATAATGTATAATTAAAGATCAAGAATGAGAAAGCACACCCTCAATTGGTTCAAATCCCAATGAGCAGTTCTATCTTGCTATATTACATACACATGACCACTTTGGGCTAAAAACCTTCATTGCTGTGATTAAACAAGCACTCATATGGTATGTTTGTCTCAAACACTTGTCCAGACTATAAAATTCACTCTTTTGTCCACAATTAAATATATCTACCCACATAATGTCAAGAACTACTTTATTTCACCCTAATATCAAGTGATGACCTTTTCAAAATATATAGTATGATATTGATATATAATCTATGATATTGAAATGTACAAAATATTCAGTGGCGTGAATCCAAACAGCTTGTCATGTTTATGTAAAAATGACTAGGCACCCTAAAAATTGCTAGCAATAAATAATGTCATTAATTAAACCTATTTAATGTGAAATAAATTGGAGTCAGATGCTCTTTTTTAAGGAAAGTCAGTTTTATTTTCAAATATATACAGTATACAATAGACTAAAATAAAGTGCCAAGTATACATACTAAACTATCCTGCTATGACAATTATAGGCCCTGATGTATAATTCAAATATTAGTTGTTTCCATGATCAATAGGAAAACATTTCAGAACAGTTAAACATATTTTATTTATACTTTCAATGGTTTTCTTTTAAAGTTTAGATAGAAGACTAATCAAGAACCTCAACTATAATATGTATCCCACCACCCAGTAGAATCACAAGAATAAAAAACAAAACAATGGTGCTCAAAGATTAGTGAGACTAACATTTAAACAAAAGTTGACATGTTAACCAAAGTTGGAATATAATATGTTAAGTGGTTTTGTAATGGCAAGCACCCAAATAGAAATACATCCAATAAAAACAGTAATCTATAACAAGTACTAATCACTTGGTTTCTGGGGACCAGATTCTCCTGTAATAATAAATAGCTCTATAGTGTATATGTAGTCCTGATCCTTATTTACAAAATATCTTAAGTCCTTCTTTAATAACTTCTCATTTACTTTGTGTAGGCAGAAGAGTTAATTAAAAAGGACATCCCTTACATCATGAAATGAGAAGCATGGTTTCATGGTACTATATTGTATACATTTTGTTTGTCCATCCATAGCCATACTTTCTCCTCTACCCTACTGTATTTTGGGAGGCTGACCTATGTCCTCACTGTGCTCCCAGGCCCTCTGGCTTTTAGTTAGTTTAGGCTCTTGGAAGCTCTTATAGGAAATTGAAGAGAGTGGGAAAAATGAGATCTAGATATTTATTCTCCTAATTTCCTGCTGTGAAGTTGCCGCAGGCTGACTATGTCCCTTGACATAGTTACTGCTTTTTTCAAGATAGTTTCTCATGATTCTTTGCTTCTGGTCATTTCTCCTTCTCCTCTTGTTTCTCCTTCTCCTCCTTCCTTTGGCCTAGATGTAGTAACAGCTCCACAGCTACAAGGTTCTTGTATTATCTCTGGTGGTTTTCTAACAACCTACTTGTGTCATGATTTGTTCCTTGTAGATAAACCTCTCAGATGATATAGGCCAAACAAGAGAAAAGGAAAATGTCAAGCTAAAATATTCTAGAAGGCATGGGGAGGGAGGGCACTGAAGAGTTTTGTCATAGCCCATTTTCTGTTGCTACAGAATTACTGAAACTGGTGTCTTAATAAAGAAAGGAAATTTAGTTTGACTGTGGTTCTAGAGGTTTAGAAGGATGAGAGGGCAAATATGTTAAAATATGATACTATGTTAGTCAACTTTTCATCACTATGGCAAGATACCGGAATCAAGTTAAAAGGAGGAAAAGTTTTTTTGTCTCATGGTATCAGAGGTTTCTGTAGATGATTGCTTGCCCCTGCTGCCTTTGGGCCTGTTACAAGTATTTGTGTTGGAAGTGCATGGTGGAAGAAATGGTAGCTCAGAAATGGAGAGGGAAGAAGGGGCTGAGATCCCAATATGCTCATCAGGGCCCTCCTTCTGGGGATAGCCCCCCGATGGCCTAACTTCTATTCCACTAGGCTCCACCACTAAAAGTTTACTACCTCCCAATAGTGTCATGGGCTGAAGAATAAGGCTTTAACACATGAACGTTTGAGGGATATTTCAAATTCAAATTATAATAGAAGCAAAATTTGAGTAGCAGCCTCAAGTTATAACAAACTGCTCTCACACTAACTAATCCAGTTCTGCTAGAGCAAGAATTCATTCCTATGAGAAAGGCATTAATGAGTTCATGAGGGCTCCACCCTTGTAACCCACTCAATTCCCACCAGACCCTATCTTTGAACACTGCTGTATTGGGAAGAAAGCCTCAACAGTAGATTTGTTGGTGACAAATTATACTCAAACCATAGCCAATTTTAAATGAAATAATAAGTTAAACATACTTATATTAGTTAGTAATCTCTCTGCAGTGTGGAATGTACATTGTAAAACCAAGACTTGGTACACAAGATTTTTATATAGTCCATGGCAAATGTGAAAGCAGAAAATGATAGAGCTTTGCAGTGGCAATAGAAAGAGGGAAGAAGGACTGGTGGAGTGGCTCAGGTGGTAGAGTACCTGCCTAGCCTTCATGAGGCCCTGAGTTTAAGCCCCAGTACCACCAAAAACAGTGATTAAAAGACAAAGAAAGAAGAAGTTGTATATGAAAGAAATTTGTAACTCATCACTATGGTGTTGGGTGAAACTTACTGAAGAATCTAGATTATCTGATTTCTTGCTTATTTGATAAAGTAGAGCATAGTTAAATTATTTGTTTTCTACAGCATTGCTTCTATTTCATCATACCAGCTTAAGTTGTTTAGAATAATGTGATCCTTTTATTATTAATATTCTAAAATAAAGTGAATCAAACCAGAATCTATAAAACATCTCCATCTTAAGTTCATAATGATACCAAAAATAACCTCAACTTAAGCCAGTTTTACAGAATGTACGCAGCACGAATTCCTATGTTATTAAAAGAGGTTTTCAGTGTACCCCTAACCACTCTTGGATTCCCTCAGAGAAACACTAAGAAAAGATTTAAGAACAAGTATTTATTTGGGAGGTAAGGGAAATGACCAGGCAGTGGGGAATGAGACAGATAAGACAAGGCAGCCAATAAAACATGGTACATTATCAAGCCAACTACCACTGTGGGCCACTGGAGCTTATCCCACTGGGGAAATTGGTTCTCTTGTAAAACACATGCCTCAGAGTTATCTTTCAAACATCCAACAGAGCCACAGTGCCCACACTCTATTTCCTATGACCAGTCATTGGTTACAGGCTACTCCTGGGTATGCTGAGAAGATGTCAATTCCCTGGTATGTATCAGCTGCCACTTAGATGGCAGAGCAATCTCTAATGGCAACAAAAAAACCTTCAGACAATAAAATGCTACTGCTGGTCCCAGACACTGGGTGGATGGGCCCTGAAATGGTAAGGTTAGTTAATTTTGCCATTTTGCTGTCATGGTGTCTAAAAGATGATTCCTATTTGGTTCTAGAGGTTAAGAATACAGTTTAATTTTTACATATGTAATGATAGTCTAGGTCACCTTCAGGAAGATAATTTAACAGAAACTCTTGTTTGCTATCTGAAAAAAAGTAAGAAATCTTATTGGTCATTATCTTAGCCATAACACAATGTCATTTTTATCCTAGCAATATAAATATGAGATGATGTTAGGATGTTAAATGTCAAGTGTTTTCTCCAGATTAGTATTTACCAGTATTTATTCATTTTTCCTTTCATTCTAGTTGAAAGAATACAAAACCAGTGGGATGAAGTGCAGGAACACCTTCAGAACCGCAGGCAACAGTTGAATGAAATGTTAAAGGATTCAACACAATGGCTGGAAGCTAAGGAAGAAGCTGAGCAGGTTTTAGGACAGGCCAGAGGCAAGCTTGAGTCATGGAAGGAAGGTCCTTACACAATGGATGCAATCCAAAAGAAAATCACAGAAACCAAGGTTAGTATCAAATATGTCTTCTTTACTATTATTATTTCTTAAACTTTTTTATTGTTGTGTTGGATAGGGTACATTGTGGCATTTGCAGAAGTTCTTACAATGTATCAAATATATCATTGAATTTAAAGAAAATTACTGCTTATACTGAATACAATTATGCCATGGACTAATATTTCATGATTTTTAATATAAATTTGGTAAAAGAAAATTGTATTTAGACTAAAATTAACACTAAATTTTTTTATGTATTTTGAGACAAGTTCTCTCTATGGAGCCCATTCTGTCCTTAGACTTGTAATCCTCTTGCCTGGGCCTACCAAGTGCTAGGATTGCAGGTATCTGCTACCATGCTCAGCTGAATAAGTCAGAGTAAATATTAAAGGAAAAGTGATGGCTGAAATCAATCTTAGAGCTAGTTTTGATGTGGAGATAAGGGACTGTTTTTTACATTGTACAGTCTTTTAAGAACACTTCAAGTTGATGTACATACCATACTTCTGTAGTAGCATGAAGTCAGAAATTTGGGCTTAAATTCCTACCTAGGAAAAGTAACAGGTCTACTCCTTCTTACCATTTACGAGCCCTAAATGGAGAAGTGAGGGAATAGGTATGAGGATAAGACAGGGTAATGGTATTTCTTACTTTTTCCCCATTCTCTGACCTTTAGCCCAACACATTCCTCTCCTCCTTCTTTTTCCTACTCTTTCCCCCCAAACTTCATCAAATATCTGTTTGTTTAATAGTTTGTAGTTCCTCCAGATAAAACAAAAAAAAAAGAAAGAAAATAAAATTTATTTAACAAGTGTGTTTTATCAACCACTGTGCATTGTGCTTTATATGCATTTGATCCTTTCAAATGTTGCATTCATAGGTCAGTTGAAAATACCTTAACTGCAAAGCAATTTGGTACCATTTAGGGAGTTTCTGCAGAGAACTAACATGGTAGGAATTTGATCAGATTGAGTATTTGACCAAAATCCTCTGCAGAATTTTTATCTGGTAGAAAAGGACTTTTCCTAAACAAATATCTGTTTGGTTATCTGTTGATTATACAACCAACATTGGTTATGTCATCTAAGAAGAAAGACATATAGTTTTCTTGGATGAAGCAGTTGGTTTTCACTTCTAAATTAGGCCACTCTGTGCTAAGTTGTAGTAAGAAATAAACCCTAAAATACCAATAGTTTAAGGCAATAAAGATTAATAAAATTAATTCCTTGGTTATAGTTCATTAGAAACTGACAACACCTTTTCAAGAGTTCTGTCCAAATGGTCATTTGGGGATAAACTTTTCCAGTTTTGGGAGACTATCATTTGAAACCATATGGTTACCCCAAAGCCACTGCAAGGAAAGGAAGAAAGGATGTGCTCCATCAATCCATGGTTTTTATGCACAGGCTTGAAAATTCCACCACATCTCATTGACCAAGACTTTCTTCCAAACTTAATTTCAGGAAGACTAAATAGGATTAATGAGCTTTTAGTCAATCTCTGTCAGAGCCACTTCATCAAAAGAACTAGGCTGCTATAAAGACAAGATTTTCATTTATACAACATAAATGTTAGAAAGCCACATTGGATTTTAAGTCTTATCGTTAGCTTGTTGGAAGCAAAATGTAGGTGGATGTGAAATACTTGTTAACAACAACAGTTTTTCCAATGAATGAGCATAGATGCATTAGTAATTTCTAATGATCATTTTCCTAGTTCCTGGTCTATGTGAAAAATAGAATCCATGTGGTTATTCTTGGATGATCTGATCTTATCCATAAGATAAACTCCTTAAATTCAGGATACTTTGAATTTAAGGGATCACAGACCAAAGTAGTTAATGAATGAGAGTGAATTAGCAGGAAAAAAATTTTGGATTGGACTTTTGAGGGGAAGAGGACATAAGAAGACATAATGATATGCTTGACTAGGGAAAAAGGAGTCTAGAAGGTGACAAATGAGTAAAAAACCTTCTCCTAAGAGAATCCTAAAAGATGGCAAGTATAATGAAGGTTTGGTAGCTCTTAGAAGAGTAAGGAGCTTCCAATAAGAAACAAAAAAAATTGTAAAAGTAAATATGAATGAAGAAAACAAAATAATCTTATCACCAAGCTGGGTGCTGGTGGTGCACGCCTGTAATCCTAGCTATTCAGGAGGCAGATATCAGAAGAATTGAGATTTGAAGTCACCCAAGCAAATAGTTCACAAGACCCTATCTCCAAAAAAAAAACCCATCACAAAAAAGCACTAATGGAGTGGCTGAAAGTGTAGGCCCTGAGTTCAAGCCCCAGTATTGTATAAATAACAATAATCATCATCATCATCTCATTACCAAAACCAATAAAATATTTTAAACACCCTAAAACAAAAATAGGATTGTATTCTAATTATTAACCTTATCAAACACTTAAAATTAATAAAAATTCCTTTTGAATGGTTGGTATCATAAAATGGCTCTGCTGTCATCTATGGAAATGGATATTTTTGTTTCTGTTCTGTGCTTTGGAATTTAATGATATACATTGCACATTCAATGTAAGCTCATAACACAGATAAAGATGACCACAGCTATAATTTCACCATCCACTTACTGAATGGCATATACTAAAACTAAAAGTAATCCTACTACAATACTCACTAAATATTAGTTTTTTGAGTACATTAAAAACTGTGCTAGTCATTTTACGTATATTGGTTTATTTCGTCTTCTCAAATACCCCCTATAAAAATGTTCTTATTGTCCATAGTTTGTAGAAAAGAAAATTGAAGGCTTGAGAATTTAGGCAACTCCCTCTGAAAGCAATAGAACTGTGATGTGATATATAGCAATTGCACTTGTAGATGACCTCACAGGATTTCTCTTCCACCTATTGTCTGGAAATTGAAAAAACACCATAAGGATATGAAAGAGAGACAACTGACAACTAAGATTATATTTTATTACTAATAAGTCAACTGGCAGAAAATGAAAATAGTGAAATATATATTGGGGGAAAGTTTTTTGTGTTTTTTTCTTCTATGAAAAACTAAAAAGATAATTGCAAATTGACTTCCATTAGTAATTCTTCTAAAGTTAGGGGACAGATAAAATGGAAGTTGATCTTTATGTGTAATGTGTTATCACTTAGAATTTTCTTTTAAGAGGAGAATATGAAATCAAACATGAGAAGACACTGGATAATTTGGCCAGGATCTCCGTCCACAAAATTTTTTTCTGAGCCTCTGTGCCTAAGATTACCAAGAGGACCTGTGAGCCTCATAAGGCAATCATCAGGGTTGGAGAACTGTGATTACAGCAACCAGCCTCCCTTATAACACCATCACTGATGACTACCTTGTCACTAATGAGCAGTAATGAAATGGTCTCAAAGGCAATCACCAGCACTATAATCTTTTAAAATTTAAATCAATCACCATACCTGAACCTTAAAAATATCACCAGCAATCCTGATATATTAATGAGTTATAATTGTTCATCCTCATCTGTAATTTCTTCTATATATTATCTACATTTATTTTAATTATGTCCTAATAATGGGTGATTTACAAATTCTGATATTTAAGTTTGGTATCATTGTATGAATATTATCAAGGTTGCTATATAACATTTAGTCATTATTTTTAGCTCTTTATAGTAATTTATTAAGTTCCATTTTTAACTCTTTTCTTACTGGGTTGACATTGTGGGAACCTCTTCCTCTCGGTTAAAAAAATAGTGGAGAAGGAATGTACACACTAATAACCCATTCACATAATAAAATCAAACCTGAGATAGCATCTAGAAAGAGGCCATCTAAAAAATGTGGACACAGTAGAAAGAAATAGCAAAGGAGAACCCTGACTGGGCAAAAGAATGGTCTGCAATAGCAAAGGATTTTTGATAAGCAAGTCATTAAGACCTATCCATAGGATATTTATAATTTCTCCCTTTGCTATTTAACCCTGAATTTTTCTCAAACAAAAACATGAATTTAAAAGTAGTTGATTTTGTTAACCACATGTCTTCATTTGATCTTCTCCACAGATCTGGTACAACAATGTTCTTTTGAAATAGAAAGACAGATGTTAGGAAAAAACATACAAGATTTCCATCCTAAACAAAATCCCTGCCAATAGGCCATGACAAAATACGTGAGAGATTGTGCCATTTAAAACTTTCAAAAGAAGCAAAAACAGTACACAGTTGGCACCTAAAATCTGCCAGCAGTGATCATCATGGGATTTATTTCATTTGCAGATTCTTGGTTGAGTTCATAAACTGTTCCCTAGGCTATTAAGATTGGTCTAAACTTGGTGATAGATTCCTTGGAAAAATTATCTCTGATCATTTTAAACTTTCTTTTCCTGTGTCAAGAGAGATTTGCCCAGGCTCAGAGTTTTCATTTATTTTTTCCCCTTTCAGCTTCTGAAAGAGAAATTCCTTTTTTGTCTACATTGTGATTGCTTTTGTGTCAAATTCAGCATAAAAGCTTTTCAAATGTGATGGCATTAGCTGTTTTGTACTTGGCTGAGCTAAGAGTACATGAATTCAATAGAGAAGTGAAATCTTGTTTGAGTCTAGATGATTTTGTTATATGATACTTAGAACTATCTGAAGCAAGAAATCCAATAATTTTCAAATTATTAAATAAACATTTCTAAGGCTGCAAAATCCCTATGTTTTAAAAATATTCTTTAGGGAACTTGTAACACAGATACACTGTAATCATGTAATTAATTTGCAAACTTAAACTTGTTATTTATAAATAACTACAGTGGCTATTTAAGGATCTCAAATTATTTTAGTAGGAAAGAAAGTAATCAGAGAGAACTTTTTCAAATATAGAAGTAAAGTCCTACATTTTTAATTATTTGGGGAAGGATGGATCTGCCTTAAAGATATATGTTCAGTAATGGAAACTGAATTCTTCTTTTATGTATTGTGTTTACTTTTTTAATGTAATACAAAAATTAAATCCTCAAATTGACCCACACTAGTAGTTTGAGGTTGAATTTCTGATACAATAATG